GTGCTCCAAAAGGGATACGAGTAGCCCGACGCTGTACTGATTCGACGAGATTTCTATGACGCAGAAGCACAGTGTCCCATACCGGGCCAGCGAATTCAAGAATTGGCCTCACGAATGCCTTGTAAATGTAGGCGCAAGTGTTGACATCGGATCCTTTGAAAGACCTCTCCAGCATGTATAGAAGTTTCTTGGCTTTTGATGTAACGTGGTGAATATGTTCTGACCAGGAAAGACGATCGTTGACTACAACGCCCAGATCAGTGTGGCTGGAAACTGCTTCGATGTTGTGGTCAGAGATCTTGTATGTAAATCGCGGATTTGTCTTCCCGAGGTGAAGGACACAACACTTAGTTAGATTTAAGGGTAAAAGCCAACTGACTGACCATTGACAAACAATATCAAGATCTCGTTGAAGCATAGCAGAATTTACGACAGTATTGTAAATCTTGGTGTCGTCGGCATAAGCTTAACATGTGGAGGAAATCAATGCGGGCAGGTCACTTGTATACAGAAGGAACAGCACTGGCCCCAAGACAGAGCCTTGAGGAACTCCACTTGCTACATGATGAAGGTGAGACTGGCTATCACTGACGCGCACAGAGAAAGTCCTCCCGGTGAGAAAAGCCTTAATCCACAGTAACAACTCGCCTCTTATACCTACCCATACATTCCAACTTAAACAGAAGTCTTCTATGTGGTACGCGATCGAAAGCCCTAGAAAAATCTAAGTAGATTATATCAACAGGAGTCTTTGTGTCCAGATACTGAGTCCAATCGTTGAGAGAGTGGAGAAGGTTGGTCATTATTTATCAACCAGGGAGAAATCCATGCTGATTCTTAGGGATAAGGTCATTTTCGAAAGCAAATGACAGGAGCTTATCGAATATGATTCTTTCAGCTGTTTTGGCGGCGATAGGAACGAGACTTATTGGTCGATAATTTTTAGCGGAGGATTTGTCGCCCTTTTTGAATACAGGGGTAACAGAAGCACTAAGCTAGCATGAGGGTAGGGTATGAGATCTAAAAGTATAGTATACGATATTACAATACGAGTAATTTAGTATAGATAGATAGATATATATAGATTTAGTAAATACCTGTTTGCTATAAGAGTATGCAGCGGTAGGTAGGTTTCAATCAAATTGATTAAGTTTTCTCATTTGTTGGATAGATACGTCTTCAGATCGCTTTATAATGCCACATGGATTACATCCTGTAGAATCCATAACGCAAAATGTCATATGTCCTCCAATGAGAAGATCTTTGCAAAAGCAAAGATGCTTACGTTTTCAAAGCTGCGATTAGCAGCGTTCATACTCGAGTCTAGAAACAGTCAACTGTTCATAATGCCAGAATCCAGCGCTATGGATGGTTAAGCACAGGGAAGGTAATTTCTTCAGAACTTCAATTCTTCTACAAAGCTGAGAACAAACTCCCCAATAAGATCCCTGATTTCAACGCTATCATCAACACTTAAGTGCCATCGGTCCCAGTTCCCTGCAATCTAAGGGCTGAATCGTCAGTCGTTTCTACAATTGTAGGACGCCTTTATGATTTTCATAGTCTTTTCTCTCCTTCAGAAAGGTTGAGGCATTTCTAGATTTCTACTGTTCCGTGTTAGTGTCAGCGCTCTCCTATTGTGAGGCTGTTTTCTTTTTGAATTGAAGGAAATTTTCTGATACATTAGATATAAATCAAAAGCATGAACAATTTGATGCAAATCGATATCTGTTAAATAGCCTCAAAATAGAGCGTGTGACGGAGAAATCTATGAAATCGAGGAGACCATAAAAGCGTCCTACAACTGTAGGAACGACTGACCATAAGGCACTAAGAAAAGCTTCCTACATATAAAATAAAATCGAGACCTGTTAGTAGAGTTGCGCAATGTCTTAATAAGGTTCCATCTCTTCCAATTTTACTTCTTCGGAGATCTAGAAGTTTGTTTGTAATCAAGTTGTTCTCGAAGCTAGAAAGTATTAGCGTCCATCTAGACTTCGCACTTTATAATCTACCCTACATTACACTATACTGTACGAGTATATTTTTTATTCTTGATGAGAGCTCCTCTAAGCTGACACAACAGATTGTCTTTCATCTCATTTCGAGGGCGACTCTCTCTGAGCGACTGCAATTTTGGTGCTATAATGCCAACTGAACTTGTGCTCCTGACCCCAATGTTGTCACATTCTGTGCCTGTCAGATAGACTGGTCAGGCTTCTGCTACTGACTCTAACTCGGCTAAGCCCCATTCGCCTTAGACGGATATTACGTCCGACTGGACAGGACTCTGCATCCACAAGTAATCGAAAGTAATAGTAAGTGCCAATCATTTCACCTAGCGGGTTACGTTAACAAAACGTTGTTGTCTTGTGAAACCTCCTATGTAACAATTTTTCCATATCGGCGCGGATATGATGTAAAAGACCTATAAAACGTCAAACACGAAACGTATAAAATGTCATCTTGCATACTAGGTAGTTTTTATGGTGCAAACATTCATTCCACGTTTGTTCACTAGGACCGTTGTGAGCGTCCATCTATGGAGGAATGACTCAACTACACGAATTGTTGGTTGCATATGTTTTGTGAAGCCGAGTGGTCTGTAGTTTTCATCTATGAGAAGAAAGTTGGTTGAATAGCAAGATCGCATCTGGATGATTATGTGCATTGGTCTACATGTGTATAAAATCAGTGAGATTTCCTGTCTGAGAAAATCATTACTGAATCTGCTGCCAATGATGTATCTATTAGCTGTGCCCGACGGGTTATTTATATGTTGTCCCTTCTCAAGAAAGATTATGTTCAAAGTTATAAATTTCGATTTTTTACGTTTTTTTGAGGCTTAAAAGAGTGTTTATGTCATTCTGTAAAAACTGCTTCTAAACACAGGAGTTTTCGTCAAAACAACGACGAAAAGTTGTTTTTCAGTATGTATAGAGTTTTTGGCACTTGTTGGTGGCTTCTACTTCAACTTTCCTTTCCATCCTTGTTTTCCGTCTGGCTACAGCCGTATCTAGATGTGATGAGTATATGTTTTCACTTCGGTGTTTTCGATGCACATCAATCTAGGCCTGATGAAGCCAATAAGCAGAACCGTACGTCGCTCGGGTTACCAATCCCTCTGTTTCTGCTCCTGTTCCGACATGCTCACGATTGTCTTTTAATTACCCATAATAACGTGTGTTGGATGCCTCTTAATACAATTCAGACGTTGCTGGGTTGTAACCCGGTGTAAATTCGTTTGAACAATTTTACAAGTTGCAAAAATTTTCTTTTTTTTTGCTCGTGACATAGTTTTGTTGGATTTCAAGTTTTTCGTTCCAGACAAGAAAAATCCCCGGTAACCAACCTCTAAAGTCTACTGTTTTCAGCGGCTTTAAGTCCACAAAACCCTAAATATACAGTATTATACAGAGCTTAGCTTAGGGGGACCCAACAGGCTAACTAGAGACTTACTCGAGAATCGTAGGGACCTAGTGGGTTTTTGAAGATTAGATGGCTAACGAAAAAAATGCTATATGATGTATATACTCTTTTAGTGGTAAGGGGATACAGCTTGTCAAAAATGTAAAACAACGATTACATAGACATACTCGAACGCGTCAGGCCGCGCTCAAGAATATCAAGGTGATATCTTTTGCAAGTTTGTGACCCTTCCTCTCCCTTATGTCTCTCTAAGATCTTCAGATTATTGAAATACACAATTTTACCAGCTTTATCTGAAGCGCTCAGGTATTTCTAAAGTTGGAACGTTTTCTACTACTTATTACTTGTCAATAAAATTTCTTGAGAATGTTATCGTTTCATTCTTTATGTAAGACTACCCCATTCCGGAAAAACAATGTGAAGAAATTATTTTTTCTGGGTCTAACACTTCTAATATCACTGAGTATAATTACAATAAGTAATATATTACTAGCTGTCACAACCATTAGGTAGAGCTAGCTTACATAAGGGGGTTTAGTTATATACTTAATTGATAAAATATTCACCCATACTTTATAATTTGTATGCTCACCACACAGTACAGAACTAAAATGCTTTATAACGCGGATATGGCTGTTTAAAATCCGAAATGGCTCAGTGTTTACGGCAGGCGAATGGATCTGTAAACCAATTTGTGCTCAGTAAATCTCACTTTATTCGGTTGTATTTCCCTCTAGTGTTTGTTTAGTTTTGTGTTTGCACGTGGAATGATTTGGACGTAAATAGAATAGAAACTTTGTTCCTTCGCTTAATGACGGCTGGAAAATATGGATGTTTTCTAACGTATATGGGAAAATATGATCAATACACACTACAAAGATTGGACATTTTGTGTAAAGCCATAGCACATAACTTCTACCTTATCAAATTTCTGATACTACAATATTTATTGCAGCATGACTTTCCATAACGGAAGTACTCAGAAGATGGGTATTCTCAACAAACTGCTTAGAAGATGAACACTCACGTTAGAATAAACTTTGCGCGATCATATTGCATACTATATACCACATTATTAAGGACTCGTACGGACACGCACAACTACAAAACGACTTCACAACGCATCCATCAGCTAGTACTAAGTTAACATCTTATTATATTCAGGCACTTTGGCGTGATCACGTAACAAATATTCATACATTCTCATTTATATATTTTCGACTTCAGTATTAAAAACTGCAATCACCCACGCAAAAATAGAATGTAGCATCCATGAGAAAGAAAAAAGCTGATTTCTGAGCACAGAGCAGAAAAAGTGGCGAGCCAAGTGTGGGATTTATTTTAAAATTCCTCAAATAAGATCAGTAGAAAATAAAACCTATTGAGTAAGTTTTTTTCGTTAATTTTGAAAAATATTCCGGATTGCGAAACCACTTTCTTAGTATACCTGAATGCGGAGCTTTGCCCTAATTTAACCAACTCCGTATTTCCTACCATTACCGACATCCCAACGGTGAGAGTCAAATTCGAATGATCCAGCGTAGTAATCAGACATAATTTCTTTTGTGGACTCACCTGAATTGGGTTCGTTGTCGCTGTTCGGCCTCGCTGAAGGAGCTCCATCCCTAGCTTCGATCTCCAAAGCATACGCGCCCTGCTTTTCTCTGTCGAACACCACTTTGGTGAACACCTCGCCGGTCTCCTTGTTGATCTCGAAAAAGTCTTTGCCTTCGTTTCTTGGTGAGTCGACGATGTAGTAGTACACCTGAAACAAATAAAATGCAGTGAAAAAATGGCGTCGGGTAGGTTAACTCTGTACTTCCTGTGCAATTCTGAATAAATAGGCTGTGTATATGTATCATTTTTTTTTTTTTTTTTTATTTAATAAACCGCATCGACCTATTGGCCATTAGCGGTATCGGATACAGTACGTTATATTTTATGTAGTACATTACAAAGCTGTAAGAAGTGTATCAGGTTGCGTATGTTACAATTGGGTGCTAAAATGTCACTCAAAGCCATCGATGTAAGGTTGCATTCCACTCTATGGTGTTCTAGTAATGGGCACTGCACTAATAAGTGTTTCACGGTTAGGTTAGTTTCACATATTTCACACATAGGTTCTGGCTCCTGGGTGATGAGGTGTTCATGAGTGATCCGGGTGTGACCCAAGCGGAGTCGGGTGATTAGGGTTTGGTATCTTCTGCTAGTAGAATTTGGAGTCCAAGGTCCGAATTAGGTTTTAATTCGAGAAGCTTCGATGGAATATTCTGCCAGTTATTATTCCAAGTTTCAATCACTCGGTTTCTGAGGAGAGCTTTGATGTCTGAAGCTGGGATGTTCACAGAAGATATTCTTGCGAGATTTGCCGCCAATTTAGCCTGAAGGTCTGCTTTTTCGTTGCCCCTGATACCGACGTGAGAGGGAGCCCATACGAGAACAACATTGTGGTTTTCTGATTGTATCGCGTGAAGGATCTGTTTAATTTGGAGAACTATGTGATTATTTGTGTAGATCTTCTGGATGAGCTGGAGAGAGCTCAAAGAATCTGTTATGATGAGGCTCCGTTGGATCGCTTGATTGTGTATGTGTTTCATAGCTTCCAATATTCCATATAATTCTCCTGTTAGAATTGTAGCTTCATCTGGCAATCGCATTGTAAGGGTGTTGGAGGATGTCACAACAGCTGTTCCTATTCTCTTGTTAAGTCTTGATGCGTCTGTGTATATTTTTTCATAGTTCTGATATTTGTTCATTATTTGCTGGAAGTGTTGTATTATTATTGTTGCTGGTGTGTCTATCTTATTCATTTTTGTGAGTATGGTCCAGGGTCCAGGGTGCGGTGTCTGTACTACATTTATTGGTGTCCATGGGTATCTGGGAGATGTCGATCTTCCTCAAGTAACTATAGATTCTTCGGTAGAATGGCTTTTTGTTAGTTGTATCAGGTTGATCCGTCTGCAACTCCCTATTAATCTGTTCTATCTTCTTGTGGCCAGGGATATTTGGGTTTGATGCGAGCTTAGTAGCGTATGCTAGGCTCAGAAGCTCCCTTCTGTCATTCAGCGATAGTTCACCGGCTTCACAATATAAGCTTTGGATTGGTGTTGTTCTAAATGCTCCGAGTATTAAGCGCAGTGCTCTATGGTGTATACTGTCTAATGGCTTGACAGTGGAACTACTGGCTGAGGCGTAAATTATGCTTCCATAGTCAATTTTAGCTCTTATCAGTGATCGGTAGATGCTGAGAAGGGTTTTACCCTCTGCTCCCCAGTGTCTGTTGGCTATATATTTTAGTACGGTCATCCTTTTTTCACATGATTTAACTAGATATTCTATGTGCTTTTTCCATATCAATCGGTGATCGAATATAAGTCCAAGAAATTTGATTTCTTGTGTTCGTTCCAAGGATACATTATTTAGTTTTAACGGTTCTCTGGAATGGGTTGTCTGTCTTCTCGAGAATATAATATATTTGGTCTTGTCAGGCGAAAATGATAATCCGGTACGTTTGGTCCATTGTTCTAACTTGTGTATTGTTTTTTGTATAAGTTCAGTGTTGGTTGTAAGGTTTTTGCCTCTCACATATATTATCATATCGTCTGCATAAAGGCGTATTTGAACTGGCTTTTCTACATAGTTTATGATATCGTTGACAGCAATCAGGAATAATGTCGGGCTGATGATTGATCCTTGGGGGATACCATTTTCCAAGATTCTAGTTTTTGATAAAACTCCATTTGAGCGGACTTGGAAGCTTCTGTAGCTCAAAAAATTAGTGATAAAAGCAATAATATTTCCATTATATCCCCATGCTTGTAGTTTTGAGATGATGTCATACTTCCAAGTAGTGTCAAATGCTTTTGTCATATCAAAGTAAACTGCTAGGCAATGCTGCTTGTTATCAAAAGCTTCATGAATGTATGTTTCCAAGTCAATTGCGTTGTCTATTGTGGATCTGTTTTGTCTAAACCCAGATTGTTCATTTTTTAGACGATTGGTATTTTCTAGGCTCCATAGCAGCCTCTTATTGACGATTTTCTCTAGAAGTTTACACATAGCACATGTTAGAGTTATTGGCCTGTAAGATTCTGGTGCAAGAGGTGATTTGGTGGGTTTCAGTATAGGTATCGTAATTGCTTGGTGCCATATGTCAGGAAATACATGTTCTGTCCAGATTTTGTTGAAGATTGTCAGTAAATATTGCTTAGCTACTTGGGGTAGGTTTTTTAGAAATATTATAGGTATATCGTCAGGGCCTGCCGAAGTTTCCTTTAAGACGTTGAGTGCTTCTTCCATTTCGAGTTCTGAAATTGGTGTATTCACAGGGTTTTGGTTGTTTTGTATTGTTATTGGTACTGCTTCTACTTCTGCCTTGTATTTGAGGAAATCATCGCTGTAATTTTGATTGCTGGAGTTTTTCTGGTAAGTTTGACTAAGTACTTCAACTATTGCATCATTTTTTGTATGTGTTGTATTTCCATCTTTCAAGCATTTTATTGATGAATAGGACTTGGCCCCAACTATGCTTTTGATCTTCTTCCAGACTGTTGATAGTGGTGTCGAACTATTGATACTGCTAACAAACTTTTTCCAGGAATCTTTCTTATTTTTCTTTGTGATTAGCTTTGCATGTGCCCGTTTTCGTTTCAAATCTACCAAGTTTGCAGTAGTTCTGTGTCGTTTGAAAGTATTTACAGCTTTCTTGGTTGCTCTTATTGCTGTGGAGCACTCTTCCTTCCACCATGGGACGGGATTTTTGTTCATCATTGTCTTGGTTTTTCCTACCCAATTTTGAGCTGCATCCAAGATGATGCTGTTGAAGTTGGATATGGTTTGGTTGATGTCATTTTGTATTTGAACGTCTTGAATGTTTTGTTCTATGTGATCCGAAAACTGCAACCAATTTGCTTTATTCAAATTCCATTTTTCAAGTGGTGTGGTATTATTTTGGTTCCCTGAGTTGGATATTATAATAGGGAAGTGATCACTCCCAAATAGATCATCCAGAACTTGCCACTGTAGTGAAGTTATCAGGTTTGTTGTGCATAAGCTAAGGTCTATTGAAGACATTGTTCCGGTTCCCAGATCCAGTCTTGTTTCTGTACCATCATTCAGTATGCTACGATCGGTTGTATCTAGTATGTTTTTCACTATTAAACCACGCGCGTTGTGTTTTTTGGAACCCCAAATATGATGATGAGCGTTGAAGTCTCCCATGATGATTTGAGGAGATGGTATTTGTTGTAGTAGCATCTCTAGCTCGTTAGTATCTAAGTGATAGTTGGGCGGTATATATATGCTACAGATGCTGAGGTTCTGGGGAGCTTCTATTGTAATAGCAACTGCCTCAAGTTGCGTTATTAAGTTTATGGGGCTAGCCACTATATTATTCTTAACATATATGGCAGTACCACCACTAGCTATGCGGTTTGATGTGTAACTGCGGTTCTTGAAGAATCCCATGTCATGTTTTGGTGTATGAATGTTAGTATCAACAAAGTGGGTTTCTTGTAAGCAGATTATGTTTGGATTTTGATCTGATATAAGTTTCTGTAACATATTCAAGTGGCTGTAATACCCATTCAGATTCCACTGCAACAGCGATGTGATTCCTATATTCATTATAATTTTTCGAGTATATATTAGAACGTTGATGAATCCAACGAAGAGGTGTCACTAAGGCATTCGTTAGTATTGATGTCTATGTAACGTTCCAGTTTTTTACGGAGTCTTGTACATCTGTTTTTGACTGTTCTATCAGTAATGTGAGGATATACTAACAGTATCATTTCTACAAGGCCTTTAAAATCAGTTGTATAGTCCTGGACGATATTTGTAATATGTTGGGTTCCATGAGTATTTTCAAGGAGCCTTTTAAATTGATCACTATTCAAAGGAAGAGGGGGCGTGTGATTGTCAATGAATGTTTTAACACTTGTTATCGCGTCTTGTGAGATGTAGGATGGCTGTATATCTGTTTTATGTTTCTTTACTTTCATGCTTGCGGGAGCTGCGAATATAGGAGGATTTGTGGGGTCTGTATCATGTGCGGGTGTCGTTGGTGAAATAGTTTCTGAAAAAGATCGTTTCGAAGATGAGCTGCTTTGCGTAGTCATCTCTTCGCTGTATGCTGCGTTCTGCTCCTCCGGTTGGTTTTGCCGTGTATTAAATTGGAAGTTTGATGCTGGCTCTTGGCATGGCGTTACATGCGTTAGAGTTGTGTCAGTTGACACTTGACTTTTAGACGGTTCAGCTTCAGGTTTTTGTAAATTAAGTAAGTGTTGAGGTGTTGTTTCTCGGACTTGAGCTGTGCTTATGGATTGTGGATTGTTTCTATGGGTGGTACTTGTTGATTCCTGTTGGTTAGGCGATTGGATTTCTGGCGTTGTTGTGTGTTGTTGATGAGATGATGATGGACATTGGGAAGCTACATGACCTTGTTTGCTACATTTGAAGTACTTTTGGCTATCTAGTGATAGAAAGATGCGGTAACTTAGGTTTTCGTGAACTATCTCAACGGATTCTGGAATGTTTAGGGATTGCTGATTGGGCTCAATGTATACTTGTCTCCTGAAACTCAGGATATGGCTATACTCTGGGAGTGGAGCGCCTATTCTTAGAAAGGAGACGGGCGACACTAGTTTTAGTCCTAGTTGTAATAGTTTTTCGTTTAAAACTGAGTGAGGAACTGTAGGGCTTACGTTTGACATTACTAAGCGGTCGGAGGGTGATATTAGTCGTCGTGCTTTTATGGTCTCACCG